TGAAGGAAGCAAGGATTTTGCTGCTAGTGCCAGTAACTATTTCTGTCTGGTAGATAAGAAAGCTGGCAGAGGTCCAGAACATTGTAGTAATATTGTACCCCTTGTACTGATCCTCTATTTTCAGATCCCTCAGACAGTTGCTCTGGGATGATGGAGAAATACAATAGAGACCTATGAGCTTTTCATTTAGCTCAGACTTGTTAGGTCCTGTCCCTGCTTTTGTAGCTCCTGTTCTTACATTTCTTGTGCCCTTATCAATAAATAGGGTTTGATGGAATTTGAAATGGCACTTCATTGTTAAGTTACTGCCCTCACAAGCAGAATTTTAAATATGTGAATGATGAATCTCTACAGTCATATTCCTATTTTTTAAAATCAATTTCTTCTTGATTTAATTTTTTTCCCAGATCAGGTTTCATCGTTGCTGAAATTGAACCGATGGGCATCTTCCAATTTTCCAGTAGCTCAAGAAATATCATGGTGTCAGAAGATACACAGATGATCAGATTACATGTACAAAGACTATTTGGGTTCCACAGCGATCTTATTAAAGTTTCTTATCAGACCACTGCAGGAAGCGCCAAGCCACTGGAAGATTTTGAGCCTGTTCAGAATGGGGAACTGTTTTTTCAAAAATTCCAAACTGAGGTTGATTTTGAAATAACCATTATTAATGATCAGCTTTCTGAGATAGAAGAATTCTTTTACATTAACCTTACTTCAGTAGAAATTAGGGGATTACAAAAGTTTGATGTTAGTTGGAGCCCACGCCTGAATCTAGATTTCAGTGTTGCAGTGATCACAATATTGGATAATGATGACCTGGCAGGAATGGATGTTTCCTTCCCCGTGACAACTGTGGCTGTAGCAGTTGACACAACTCTCATTCCTGTAGAAACTGAATCCACCACATACTTCGGCACAAGCAAGACGACTACCATTCTGCAGCCAACCAATGTGGTTGCCATTGTTACTGAGGCAACTGGTGTATCTGCCATCCCTGAGAAACTTGTCACCCTTCATGGCACACCTGCTGTGTCTGAAAAGCCTGATGTGGCCACGGTAACTGCCAATGTTTCCATTCATGGAACATTCAGCCTTGGGCCATCCATTGTTTATGTTGAAGAGGAGATGAAGAATGGCATATTCAACACTGCAGAAGTTCTTATCCGAAGAACTGGTGGGTTTACTGGCAATGTCAGCATAACAGTTAAAACTTTCGGTGAAAGACATGCTCAGAAGGAACCAAATGCATTGCCCTTTCATGGTATCTATGGGATTTCCAACCTAACGTGGGCAGTTGAAGAAGAAGACTTTGAAGAACAAACTCTTACCCTTATATTCTTAGATGGAGAAAGAGAACGTAAAGTATCAGTTCAAATTTTGGATGACGATGAGCCCGAGGGGCAGGAGTTCTTCTATGTGTTTCTCACAAACCCTCAAGGGGGAGCACAGATTGTGGAGGGGAAGGATGACACTGGATTTGCAGCTTTTGCCATGGTTATTATTACAGGTATATCTTTGAAATGATGGAGATAAAAATGTACTTTTGTGGTACATAATTTGTATTAAGATGAATCTAGCTTAAATTTAATAGAAGGTGAAGTACTTAAGTTATTCATAGGAATGCATTAAAATGTTGTTTTTCTGTAGCATGGACCCATGACATGAACTCAAGATGTGCTGTTCTGAGGGCCCTATAATTTAATGTACTATAAATGTCACTAAGATCAGAGCCAGTAATACAATCTATAAATCCATACTTTCACAATATAAAGAGCATTTAATTTAATCATCCAAACACGTGATTGCCTATCCTGTTTTGAAACTTCATTCTAAATTTACCAGCCACTTTCAGTAATCCATCCTAAAGTCAAAGATCTCATTGGCAGGAAATTTTTTTTTTTCTGTTACCAAATAGATTTAAACTATTGTGTTTTGTTTTGCTTTTGACCCAATGTAGATGATATAGCCATCATACTATTGCATATATATGTTACAATAGCTTAAAAATTTAATTATTTTTTGTTTCTCAGGTATCTTATGCAATCTTTTTGTGACAGTTTGCAGTTTACCTCTGTAAATACATCCTGTATTTCTTTTTTTTTTTTTTTTTTCTTGGAGATGGAGTCTTGCTCTGTTGCCCAGGCTGGAGTGCAGTGGCACGATCACGGCTCACTGCAACCTCTGCCTCCTGGGTTCAAGCAATTCTCTGCCTCAGCCTCCCGAGTAGCTGGGATTACAGGCACCTACCACCACCCCTGGCTAATTTTTTTGTATTTTTAGTAGAGACGGGGTTTCCTCATTCTGGCCAGCTGGTCTTGAACTCCTGACCTCGTGATCCACCCACTTCAGCCTCCCAAAGTGCTGGGATTACAGGCATGAGTCACGGCACCCGGCCTGCAATCATACTGTATTTCTTCAAATGAAATACATCAGCATGTCAATACCTTTTATGAGTTAGTGACAGGCTATCTCATGATTCTTTTTTCATTTTTATATTTTATTGTAAAGGGACAATTTATAATTATACATATTTAAAGGGTACAAGTAATGATGTTATGATTTATAAATACAGTGTAGAATAATTTAATCAAGCTAGTAACATGTACATTATCTCCAACATTTTTTGTAGTGAGAATATTTCAAATTTACTATCTTAGAAACTTGGAAATGTACAGTACTCTGTATTAACTGTATTCACCATTCTGTGCAATAGACCTCAAAACATATTTTTGAGATTTGATGCTTCCTGGAGTTCATATTTTATTTTAGTCACTCAGTTTTAATTCAGTCATAATTTTGCAGTCTTTTAACTTCCTTTCATATGCTCAGCATTATCTCATTTAGTTAACCTACAAATTTGCATCAATTAGTATGATTTATTCCTATTTCTACAGTTTATGTAGTGTATTGTAAATTCTTATTCTATTCTACAAGTTATTTACTGATTTTGATTCAAATTGGCTTAATACCATCTATATATTTCTATTAAAATTAGTTTGGCAGTCAGCATCCTCCTTCTCATTCTATGATACAGATATTTTATTACAGTTATTTGAATATGACCAGGGCTGATAGTTAAAACATGTAACAATTAGTTTGGCACCGGCCAGGCCCATTAAAATGGCTTCTGGAGGTTCTTTGCTGTTCTAAGCGATACTCCATTAATTAATGGATCACGAGGAGGTCTTGTAGTCCTGGTTAAGGAAGTGGCAGTGGGCTCTTTGAGGGGGGCTCAGGACAGAAGTTAGGTACCAACTGGAATGGAAGTGCTTCCCTGTTTTATGAGATAATATAGCCTACCAGTGCCTATTCCTTCATCAGCTCTGAGCTTAGTTTTAACTCACCAGGCAAATGGTAAGTCAGCTGAGCTCTGTGAGATTCTGTGATGTTTACCTTCCCTACATAAGGCACACTCATCACACACCTGTTGCAAATGACTGACACCCTGCCATAGCTACCACTAACGTCATGTGATGTAATTGGCCTGACTACACCACCAGGCACATTCACGTGGTCATAATACCTTAAGTTCCTTTACTTGCAAATGTTGCCCTCATCTTTTCCCTATCTGGCATTTTTTTCTTAATAACATTTCTCACTTAACTGGATAATTAATTTTGCTGCATCCACCCATCTTTATAATCTTTTTACATTTAGATTTTAGAGCAAACTTTCTGAGTAAGTCAGGGAAAAAATAGTTTATTTAGTTTTGATTTCGATCATTGGCATATTATCAGTCTGGAATCATCTTACTAGAAATCTGAAATCAAATTTGTTATTGTAAATGTGACAAGGGAAGTGTTATTTTCATTAGAATCATGCTAATTGCTATTGCCTTGGAAAAGGAAATGAGGGTTCTGCTGTGATAGTCTTGTAATCTACTTGAAGAGCCCAAATCCTCACTTAAGGTGACAAGAAAACAATTGCTGCCAAAGATAAAAAGTCAATGTCAGATTCTGATACCAGGTTACGAAGTGATTGTAGTGATTAATGGGTGAGGATGAGGACTGGCAGTCTGAAACAAAACACACATGAGATCCTAGGACAAATGTAACCCATCACTTGCATGTCCCTAACAAAGGGGCTCCACATTTACTTTAAGACCAGGGAAATGGTCCAGAGGCTGATGACTACTAGTTCTTCCCTATCAGGACAGTTCAGTGGTTTCCTGTTTCCTTAACCCAACCTACTCCCTAACTTCAGAAGTTCTGTCTCCTTAGAATGCCAGGAATCAGGTTTCAGGGTGATGGGTACACATGATAATATGGTTTGGCTCTGTGTCCCCACTCAATTCTTATCTCCAGTTGTAATCCCCCAAATCCCCGTGTGTCGAGGGTGGGACCTGGTGGGAGATGATTGGATCGTGGGGGCAGTTTGCCCCATGCTGTTCTTGTGATAGTAAGTGAATTCTTATGAGATCTGATGGTTTAAAAGCAGCACTTCTCCTTGCTCTCTCTCCTGCCACCATATATGATGTGCTTTGCTTCCCCTTCCACCGTGATTGTAAGTTTGCTGAGGCCTCCCCAGACATGCAGAACTGTGAATCAAACCTCTTTTGTTTATAAATTACCTAGTCTCAGCTAGCATCTTTATAGCAGCATAAAAATGAACTAATACACATTGTTTTTCAGGCTGATTGCTTTAGGATCATTGCTTCTAGGATCAATGCAAAACTGGGTCATGGAGAAATAGAAAGCAGTCAGAGCTGTGCACTGGTATTTCTCTAGTCTGAGAAGCTGGTTTAGGTGCTGCCTAGAATTTGAAGTGATGATTTCTGTATAGTATGGGCCCTAGTTTTGTTCCAGTTTAAACATTTTTTTTTAAGTATAATGGTACCTCTAACCTCAAGTGTTGCTTAGCAAAGTTTCTGATACCCAGAGATGCTCAGGAGTTCCTTAATATTTCTGTTTTGTTCTGGGGCAAATAGCTTAATGGGTAGCATAGATGGTCTTTTAGTCAAACCTCTTATGTGAAGGTAAATCCGTTGAGCAGAGTTCATTTATTTGACAAAGATTTATTCAACACTTACTATATGCTCAGTTCTGTTCTCGGAGCTGGGGATACAGTAGTGAATAAAAGTTGTTGCTCGAGTAGGGCTTACATTCTGTGGGGGATATATAGTCTTAAAACAGATAAATATCTAAAATTTCAAGTACTGTCAAATGTAAAGTAGGATCTTAATAGAAAAATGAATATGTGTGTCAGGGGAAAGAGTGGGATTTGATTATTTATTTCTTCTTTTCTTCTATTCCCAAACAGCCACCTTGATGTTATCACGGTTTAGTTTATTTTTAATAAAGATATTTTAACAACTCTAGCTCCCCTCACCACCTGTGAATTTCTCACTTTTAAACCATATGAGCTGGCAAGATTAGTGGAGCATGGGAGGTCTTTTAAATAATTCTTGAATATATTATAGCCCTCCATTCTTTTTTCAGGGAGTGACATTCACAATGGCATCATAGGATTCAGTGAGGAGTCCCAGAGTGGACTAGAACTCAGGGAAGGAGCTGATATGAGAAGACTGCACCTTATTGTCACAAGACAGCCAAACAGGTAAGTATATATATAGTATGTGGAAGATGTAACATTCTGTGTGTCTGTATAAATCCAATTTTAATTCATACAATGGTAGAGGCAGGGTAAGATAGAAGGAAGTAGTGTGGAATTTGGCATGTCTTCAGATGCTGTAGTTCTTAATCTGTGATTATGATACTTCGTTTATGATCATAACTTAGGGTTACCTTGAGTGTTTTATACTTCATGAAGTACCATACAAATATCAGACTATGTAGGTCATCACTTCATCTTACTGCCTGTTACCTGCTCACTCTACATACATACCATTTTCCTGTAAGGAAAACTTGGAGTACCAAAATTTTATTTGCAACTTAAAACTGTATAGTAGCATCTTTGGATACTAATCACATACATGTGCTTGGCATGCACACATGCACATGTGTATATATTACATTTTCCATTTTGGGCCTAAAAAATCTGTGAGAATGTAAGTCTCCCTTTGCCCTATTTTGCAGAAACAACCATTATGAGTGGAAGTGTTGTTTCTTTAGAAAAATTCTTTTTAAAAGAGAAATGAGGAACATTTACTTGCCTTTAAGAACTCCCTGTAATTCTCATTTTCACATCTTTTGGACATAATAGAAAAATATTATTTGTTTTTACATTCCTTATATAGAGTATCAGGATACTTAGTCATTATCGAATGGAATGTAGTCAAAGAAAACCACATAAGCCCTGAGGCTTAATTTAATTCTCTCATTTGTAGTGAGGAAAATTGGTCATTTTCAGCATCATCAATGGTAAAGTAAGTGCTATACTTTGGATGAAGAGGTACCATTTGGCACAGTGATAATAAACTCTATTAGACATGGGGATGACACCCTCTGTTAAGGCATTGGGTGGGTTTCTTGCTCACAGGGCCTTTGAAGATGTCAAGGTCTTTTGGCGAGTCACACTTAACAAAACAGTTGTCGTGCTCCAGAAGGATGGGGTAAACCTGGTGGAGGAACTTCGGTCTGTGTCAGGGACCACAACCTGTACAACGGGTCAAACAAAATGCTTTATCAGCATTGAACTCAAACCAGAGAAGGTAAGAAATGAAGACACACATTAGTGTCAACTTCTAATTGTATTTCTTTAGAATTAATCATTTAAAAACCACTATTGAAACTTATACATTGTTAATATGGAGATTCTTTGTGTCTTTCTTAGCCACAATCTCTAAATCTCTTTGCCGACAACAAACTTTAGACAGACTTGATTACATTATGAATTTTGTAAATAAACTTGTCATTTTTCTATTTTTTTGTTTCTTGCCATATTGTAAAATAACAACCATGTAGGTTTCACTTCTTTTATTTGTATTCTTGGTACAGTTCTTTCCTTTTCTTGAAATAAATGTCTTCTTCACAATTCTTTTTATTAACGCCTTCCTACTTACATACAAAGAAAAAAATGTTTATCGTTGCTTAATAAATGAACACATGCTTAATAAAAGATGTGTCTTGATATGCTAACTCTACACATTAAAATTAATAAAATATTAAGTATATACCGTTAGAATCATATTTATCTTGCATGCTATCTCTTTTATATAATGATAACATTTCTTCTTTCAGTATCACTATAAATTCAAATTCAAATAATTTTTGTTACTTACTAAGTGATTTTCTTTTCGGTATTCAAATAGTCATGGCATGGCCACTGATAGTCTTATTATGCTGGTCTTTTGTCTTTTCAGTATTACTTTAAAAATATCTGGAAGCATACTTGCTTTATAGCAATAACAAGTATTCTAGAGCTGTCTTGATTTTTTCCCTAATGTAAGACAGCCAATTAACTAGTGTCAAAGGACTTGATTTCTTTGATCAGAAAGATTTTAGAGATCTGTATGTATGTACTAGAGCTATGCAGGGAAGTTGATGCAGGCAAATGTGTTGCTCTTGTGGCCACTCTGGTGGTGGTAGCGCTAGAAAATATATTTTCCTTAAGGTCTTGAATCCCCACTCTTTTTTTCGTAGTTCAACATATCACGTCATTGTTTTTTGCTTTTCTTGAGTTATCATCAGCTACTAAAACTTTCTGTCACACTGACAATGAGGAACTGAAATTTCAGTACTCAAGGCATTTGATCATATAGTATGTCCTCACTTCACGTACTCAATAGGTTCTTGGAAACTGCAACTTTATGTGAAACAATGTGCTGTATAATGAAACCAGTTTTACCATAGACTAATTGATATAAACAACAGTTGAGTTCCTGCTGCACAGTGTATGTCCTTTCCTTTAAAGTTGCTGTTTCCAAGAATCTGTCATGGTTAAGTGAAGACTTACTGTATTCTACTTGAAAATATTTAAACCCTTCTTCACGCATTTCTTCCAAATATTTTTATGCTTCCATCAACTCTTTCAACCCCAGATTTCTTTTTGTTATTTTCTTTTTGAGACAGAGCCTCGCTCTGTGGCCCAGGCTGCAGTGCAGTGCTGTAGTCTTGGCTCACTGCAACCTCTAACTGCTGAGTTCAAGCGATTCTCATGCCACAGCCTCCTGAGTAGCTGGAATTATAGGTGCACACCACCATGCCCAGCTAATTTTTGTATTTTTAGTAGAGGCGGGGATTCACCCTGTTGGCCTGGCTGGTCTCAAACTTCTAGCCTCAAGCGATCCACCCACGTTGGCCTCCCAAAGTGCTGGGATTGCAGGTATGAGTCACCGTGCCCAGCCTCCATATTTCTTAACTATAGCTTTCTCTTAATCAAAGTACCACTTTCTCCATGGAGCCTCCCATGAAACCTCTAGTTGGAGTTGTTGATTCTCTAAATTTACAAAACATTATCTGTACGTTTCTTATGGAAGTTATCAGTTATATGCAGTGTTACAACTTATGCATAGTTTATATAGACTATAAAACTGTTAGCCGTTCAAAAATTAGAATGTGGTTTTACATCCTCCATAAATATGTTTTGCATACGTGCATTACTAAAAATTATATTGTGCATTTTATCTCAAATAGAATTTTTGGTGAATTAGAATACTGATAAGATTTCACTAGACTTTAAACATCTGTCTCATACAGTAGATGTTAACCTTGTAATTCTAAGAAGAGAGACGAGAAGAGCCATCAGGAGTGGGCTTGGGGAAGCTGAATAAAGAGAAACAGGAAAGTTAAAGTATAGATGGGGTTAGGGAAGACTGCTTCCTCGGAGCTTGCCCTCCTTGCAGAAGAATATATAATTAAGGGGTAAGGGAATGTTGCATGCAATACATGGGGTGCTATCTGTATATATTTGTTATCCTAACTAGAGAAATGCTGCTGAGCCCATCATCAAATAGTTTCAGTTAGGTAAGAGAAAAAAATTACTCGCACCTCTTCTTTCTCTTTCACATATGATATTCAAATCATAGAGTTTTCTTCTACATTTTGAGAAGCAGCTAATTTTCAAGACATTTTTTCCCTCATTATCTTTTCACCTGTTAAAAGGCAAGGTACAAGCAAGGTTAATATACACTCTAGTTTCATTAAGAGGAAATTTGAAAAGAGAGAAGATGGAAGATGATTATGTTCTCATGAAAATGGAAAAATATTTTTTAAAAAGTACTTTTGCCATACATTTTAACATTTTACCTTCTTTGAGTAGAAGGGAACTTATTACTCATCCAGTTCAAATTATTTTTATGTCAGATAAACTGAAACCTAATGATATAAACAACACATGTTCTGTGACAATATTCTTCTGTAGTGGGCTTTGAGAAATTATTTGGAGGTCCTAGTAGAGCCCCCCAATTATTGCTAGACTTTTGACCTAAACACCATCTTCTTCATTTTTTGTCAAAGGAAAGACATCAGTTACCCTGAACTTATTCTTGGAGTCACTGGAGTCAGTATAAGAGCTAGGGTTCTGATAATGGAAGACTTTGGTTCAAATCTTAACTCTTCTACCAATTAACTGGGTGACATTGGACAGGTTGCTCAGCCTTCCTGAGCCTCCCAGGTTTAATGGAGTTAATAATATGGCTGTGAGGCAAATAAAGAAAATAATGAATAAGAAGTTCTTAGCACAGCTCTTGGCAGAGTTGGCCCTTCATAAGAGATGGTGAGTATTGTGATTATTCAGAATGGATGGAGATGGAGCCCAAGGGAATGCAGTGACTTGAGTAATAACTACATCAACACAAGTGATAGAAGAGTTACAGATATTGCAGACACAACAAATGCATCCACAGAATTACACCATGTAGGGACCAGCCCTACAGGATCTGTGGGTTTTTCTTCTCATGTGCAGAGACAAGAGATCATAGAAATAAAGACACAAGACAAAGAGATAGAAGAAAAGACAGCTGGGCCCGGCGGACCACTACCACCAAGACGTGGAGACCGGTAGTAGCCCCAAATGCCTGGCTGCACTGTTCTTTATTGGATACAAGGCAAAAGGGGCAGGGTAAGGAGTGTGAGTCATCTCCAATGATTGATAAGGTCACGTGAGTCACGTGTCCACCAGTCAGGGGGCCCTTCCCTGTTAGGTAGCCAAGGCAGAGAGAGAGAGAGGACAGCTTACATCGTTATTTCTTGTATGCTCTTTTCAGAAAGATCAAAGACTTTAACACCTTCACTAATTTTGCTACTGCTATTTAGAGGGTGGAGCCAGGTGTACAGAGTGGAACATGAAAGTGAAACAGGAGCGTGACTGCTGAAGCACAGCATCACAGGGAGACAGTTAGGCCTCTGGATGGCTGTGGGTGGGCCTGACTGATGTCAGGCCTTCCACAAGAGGTGGTGGAGAAGAGTCTTCTCTAACACCCCTGCTAAGTAACGGGTGCCTTCCCTAGGCACTGATGCTACTGCTAGACCAAGGTCAGCTAAGTAACAGTTGCGTTTCCAGGCACTAGTGTTACTGCTAGACCAAGGAGCCCTCTAGTGGCCCTGTCCAGGCGTGACAAAGGGCTCACACTCTTGTCTTCTGGTCGCTTCTCACCATGCCCCTTTAGTTCCTTCTTTGTATGCTCTGGTTTTTCCTAGGTTATAATTGTAGAGCAAAGATTATTATAATATTGGATTAAAGAGTAATGCTACAAACTGATGATTAACAATACTCATATATCATCATATCTATAATCTATTTCTAGTACAACTACTCTTATTTTGTATATTTTCTTTATTGTACTGGCACAACTTGTGCCCTCGGTCCCTTGCCTTGGCACCTGGGTGGCTTGCCGCCTACAACACCATTCATTAATGGCAGTGTCCCTTACCTCAATCCAGTCTATTGGTACTCAAAGTTTTTTGACTCTGTCCTGACTCAGATTATCATCTCTGCAGTTTTTCAATACTTTCACTTTCGAATTATTAAGAATTTAAGTGACTTTCCCAATTCAATTACTGGGCCAAGATTATAACTCATCTCTTGAATTTCAGTCCATTTCCCCTTTTCCTGATGATTTATCTTATGATTCTGTATTAGCGAAATGTGAAAGGTTAACAATTAACTTAGGAAGCATGCTCTTAACCACAAAGTCTGTTTAAATCCAGTGTTTAAATATTTGTTGCAAATATGTTCAAAAATATTTAAGTAAAGTATTGTTTCATTGTTACTTTGGTTTTTCTATTGCTGAACAGTTCTGGTCCTTGGAAAAATCATCTTATACTAGTTAGGGCAAAAGATCATCCTGGGACCCTTCTGACCTAACCAGGAAAAGAACCTGCTGGGAATTACGCATGGAATGAGCTCTTATGAGGTCTCTGTCATTTTTAGGAGTCTGGGGAGGTTCACATATGATATATGAGTCTTGATTTCTCATGAGACTTCAGAAATGTTGTTTCAATAGACTGTTTATTTCTAAGACTGGAAGACTCTTTATGTTACTAGTCTAATGATGTGTAGGCACCCATCTGTACACTCTTCAATTTCAGATGATTCTTTACTTAGATTGTAACATTATTTTGTTTGTAGGTGGCTGTACGTAATGTTCTAATCATCACCACAATGAAAAAGAAATATTTTACTAGAGAATAAATAAAAGTCTCTGTTAGACAATA